TATATATATATATATATATATACTCCCTTATAAAAATTTTTCACCGTTTTTAGACCACATATGGACCGTTTCTAGCCCGTTTTTAGCCCGTTTTTAGCCCGTTCTTGCTCGTTTCTTGCACTCGCAAGCACTCGCAGTGTATCATGAAGGAACGATAGTGAGTATACACGAGTACGTAATGGGTATTTTTGAGGAGATTGTTCGTTTTCAATACTCGTTTTTCCGCTGATGAACGACAAACGTACACTGAGAAAAATATTCAGCGGTTGCAGTCGGAAAAAACCGTTCCAGAGCTATTTCCGATAGATTTAGGATTTCTGATCGTATTTAGGACTGTCCGATGAAAGAACAAGCGCCTTGATCCGATGAAATGCAATGTTTTATCAAATGTTAACGGAAAATGAAAACGATCACATATTTATCCGTTAAAATTTCATCGAATAAATCTACAACTTGATCGTACATTGCACTTGAACGGATAAAAGGAAAGGATTTTATCCAATTAAGCTTGATATCCATTCAAATACTATATTTGATCTGAAAATATCCGATTAGATAAAAGAATTGTCCGATTAAAAATATCCGATTCTTCGCGCGCAATTTTCTGCGTGCAAGTGCGTGGCGCATGGCGGCCATGGCGCGTACGACGCGTTATTCATTTGACTCGGCGTCGCAGGCACGCCACGCACCGCGGTGACGCAGTCACGTATACCCACAACTTACGTAGCTTCGTTTCCATTTCGTTTTCGTATAAGTCAAAGTCGCCAATTCATGACGTTCGTGTCCATACCGGTTGATATCAGTTCATATACAGTGAGTAACAATGAGTGAGAATCATGTTTGTGCAGTGATACAGTGTGCACTCAAGGAAATGAGAGCCCAGGAAGAAGTTATACAAACACTTTTAAGTAAGTAATCCTTTTTCTTATATGGTAGACAGTCGTGGACAGAATAATTGCAATACTTTTTTTCGAACTCAGTCTTGTTCGTAGAGTGGTTGAACGTAAATAATTGCATCTATAAATAAGAACTAATCACTCGTTGAGCAGGTTGCATTTTGACAGCCATCGAAAAAAGTGTTGCAACCGTATTCCGTCCACGACTTTACGCAGAAATTATCATTGGCTGCATTCAGCAAAAAAAGTAGCTTTGCAAAATTCTTAAATATGATTGGTTTATACATAATTAGATTTGGTTTATACATTTAGATAGATTTTATACATTTAAAGAAATTTTCCTTGTACGAATACTTTTTGCACACACACACACTCTCTCTCTCTCTCTCTCTCTCTCTCTCTATCTCAATATGTGTTATTATTGTTGTAATCTGTTGCTATTATTTTTTTATATATTTTTGATTCAAAAGTTTTGTAAATTGTATTCCCCTTATAACCTCCTTAATTGCGTATATTTTATATTTTTTCCCGATTTTTCAGAGGAAGGTATAATCATCGAAGATTTAAAAAGTTTAACAAAAAAAGAAAGCTATCTGATTATTCTGGAACATCCTATAACTGATCAGAACGTAATTGAACAAATTATCTGATAAAGGGGTTATACTACCTTGGCGCGCTGAAAAATGAATCGTTTTTTGGGAATTTTTTTCTCGGTTACTAACGAATGGATTTAAATGAAATTTTGAGGCATGATTAAACATATATTGAAGTGCACATACAAATTTTTTTATCAATTTATTTTACAAAATGGCGCCGTGGCACTATCATAGTCAAAATTGTGTTTTTTTCGTAACGGCAAACGGCGTTGTCCGTTTTAGCACTTCCATAGCACCTAGAACAAAAATCCAAAATTTTTCTTAAAATATGTTACTTCTACTTTGGAAGTACACATGATTTTGTTGTTTTATTGAAAATTCGCAAATTGGCATCAATTTTAATGTTTGTTATCGTTTTTTGGGGTAAAAGTCGACCTTAAATTGTTTATAAAAAACGTAATTTTTTAGTAATCGAAAAAACCATGTGTACTTCCAAAGATAATATATCTGAGAAGCTACAGTTAAAATTTCAAGTAAATCCATTGAAAATTGGCAGAGTTCCAGGCAACGCCAGTTTGAAAAACATAGTTTCGAGAAAAACGCGTTTAAAGTTTTATGCATTTACGACATGAAATATTCAATATATCGGCTTGAAAATTTTTTTACCTTTACTCAGCTGACCCAGCACCATATAACTGTCCTTCTACGTGTTCATGATGTTGTTGAGTCTCTTTTCTAAAGGCTGTACGATCTTTTCGTGCTTCTTTCCGATTAATTGATTCTGAGCGGTTGGCGGCTTTCACACGATGTTTATCAACGTCTATGGCATAATCGTACAATCGTGTGTTTATTTTTAATTGAATCGTGTTCATTACATGTAATAATCCTTGGAATCCATTATTATAAGTAATTACAGCGATGCCCGTTGCAATGTCGACGATGAGTTTGCCGCTTGCTACCGATTTCGGCGCGATCGACCACACGACAGCATTCAAACTTTCGTTCGCGTTTTGCGTAAATCCTCCGAGACAACGGGAGAGAAGATCTTCATTCGTCAAGTCTTTATAAATGGGTTCAACAGCGTCGAATACTTCCTTAGTCATAGCTGGTTTATGACTGTGCATTTGGAGATTATTTGAGGCTTTCGCTCTTTGCCAAGAGCACCAAGACTCTTCGCCTTCCGGACATCTGTCGTGCTGCGGATTCTCGTCGGTCGAAATTTTATGATACAGGGTCGCATATATTTCTTTGCGCATGTTTTGTATTGAATCCGTATTCCGACGTATGGCCAACCCGTAGTAAATACTTAATTCGTCAATTAATTTCCCTGTTAATTTTCCTCGACCACCCAGATTTTTTGCACCTTTTTTCAAATTGCGTAATCTTGTTCCCATACGTTTTTGCACGTGTCCGATGCATTCTTTCTTGGTCACGGAAAAATCATCGTACGGCTTCGCATCTTGGATACTCTTGAATGTCTTGCTGTCACCATCTCCGATATAAAAAGCGTATCGAACTTCGTACGCGTCCTCAGAACGCGAGAACATTTCGACGACAGCGTCGGGCTCCATTTTTCCCGCACTTCCACTATGATTTACATGACAATTGTTTTCATGTAAACTTTGCCATTCTTCGTATTCAGCGGTGTCTTTTTTCTTCTCCCAATGTTCGCACTCCTTACAATATTTTGATTTTACTAAAATGTCAAGTACTTTTCCTGTATACCACCCAATTAAACTTGCGAATCCAAAAAGAGAAGAAAAGCCACGCTTTCTCCAGGAGCCATCCCCCGACACTGATAGTCCTTCATTTTGTCCATATTCTTCGGAAATCTTCTTTTCTTCTTCGACAGCGTCACGTAAAACTACAGATTTCACAGCCTCCGTACCCGTTGCGATACACTTCACAATATCATCGTACGCTTTTTGGTACACTGAATTTGGGAGACACATAAACGCGCAAAATTTATTTATTCCTTGCATTCCAATACCAATAAGTCTCATAGCGAAGGTGATGCGTCTGTTTATGTCATAAGCACGGTTAATTAAAGGGCTGCTTTCAATAGTAGTGATTTCGCACTGTTTACATTTCACGACGATTTTAAATCCAAGACCGCGTATGTTCGACTCCGTAAAAGTAACACTTCCCGCGCATTTTTTACACACTAGAATTTCCGACAACGTAGTAAAAACATGAATAAAATTCACAAATCGGTAGCCAAATGCACAGTCAACTTCAATATCGTCCTTGGACGCTGAAGATTTTAGTTTTTTCGCGAGCTTAGAAACATCTCCCTCGTCGGCTCCATAGCTTTGGCGGCCGGGCGGCTTTCTATTTGAAATTCTGTCTACACTGGAACGAGTTGACGATCTTTTAGTTCCTTTCTTGTCACTGTACACTTTTTCCCTCATCTTGTTATAAATAACTACTTAAAACCACTTAAATAAAGTACATAAACGCGTAAGGGTATATCCACACAAACTTATATAGCCGCATAAACATATACATAAAGAAAATTATCCAATTGCAGTTCTCTTTTAAAGTCGTACATAAAATGTGATTGGATAATTTTCTTTATGCATACCGTTAATTGCAGTGTTGCCTTAAGGTTACAATGTTGCCATATGGCTTCTGTAAGGTACTTCTAACACCATCTGTCGATGATACGAAGAAGCATGACTGAATTTCACAGGAAAAAATTACCAGTAGGGTTTTAATGCCGCGCGGTCTTTTCAAGCGTTTTAGCGCGCTCTAAGCCACTTACAAAAACAGGCTAAAAAATTATTTTCAGTCGCTTTTCACCCAAAGTTGCTTTTGGATATTATTCTTGGATAGTTTATACATCGTTTAAGGGAAAAAAAAGGCGAAAAAAATTCTTTTTTCACGGTAGTATAACCCCTTAA